AAATGAAAGACAACTAAAGAAAATCAACAGTCGAAAACAGAACTGAAGTAATTACTTAGTTACAGCTGAGAAGTCAATGGAGTGGAAAGAGGAGAGAAGCTTGGTATGAAACGGTTGTCAAGTGAGAGGTCTATGCTTCTTCTGCACAGAGCATACAGTGATCTAAACCAGGGGTTGGCAAAGTTTTGAGTTTTGTTTTTTTAAATAAAGGGCCAGATAAATATTCTGGCTTTGGGGGCAATTGCAGTATTTACTGTTGTAGAATGAATCTGCTGCTGTAGAATGAAAGCAGCCATAAACAATATGAAAAAGAAATGGGCATGGTGTGTTCTAATAAAACTTTACTTACAAAAGCAGCAGGTAGGCTGGATTTGGCCAATGGGCCACAGTCTGTTGACCCCTGGTTTAAATCAATAAAGTTAGAGGTAGAGTTTGGTTTAACATAAACAATTTAACACTTAGGGCAGTCACAAATGGAAGACTGTTACAAGAAGTGGATAAATCCCCAGTAGTGGGTATAGACAGTAGAAAGCTTTCCTCCGCTGGGAGGGAAGCTAACTTCCTTTTCCAAACCCAGACATACCACAAGTATAACGGCCTAAAGATTCATCATCATCCTTCTCTTTCCATAGTGGAGTTGGGAATGTGTCAGCTCTGAGTCCATCTTCCCAGACTTAGTTTAGACCCATCCATCAGGGTCATCTCAGGAGCCTGAGGGCATTTTCCAGACATTCAATGACTACTTCTCAATTAAATTCCAAGTATAAAAATCACACTTAATTCTTACTAACTACAGATTTAAAATTAAAATCATCTATAGATTGAGGCTTACTTTTCAACAACAATGAAATAAATTGTATATATACACTTTATATATCTAAAACAGAAACAGACCAAAGTTTACTGCTACACCTGTCACAAGGCAACCCCAAAACAAAGATTTAAAATTACATCTACTTGATTGAAAAAAGCAACCCAGAGACTGATTGCTAAAAGTACAAGTCCATCCAGGAAAAGCTCTTTGTAATGATTGTCACAGAGTGTTAGTATCACTTTACTAAACAGAGTTTTAGCAAGTGAAGAAATTGTGCTTTATATATAATGAAACAAAAACATCTGACTCTACCTGGCCTCATGCAGTGCTGCTTATACTAGAGGATCAGAGGGCGGCTCTCATTGAACAGTATGGAGCATAGCTCTACGGCCACTCCCCCAGCAAAGTCACGTGGCTGTCCCACCCCAACCCCATTCCAGACATTTCAGAATCTCTGGTGCTCCCTGGACTGTCCATTAGAAACCACTTCCCCGCCCAGTCATCACACACCCACTACAGAGTCATGTAAATAGGCATCCAGAGGAAAATGTAACTTACCAATCGGGCCATAGACACCCTAAATGTCGGGCATGCCATATGGAATCTGGGAATGGCAACATTAAAGATCTTATCTTTAAAGTAAAGAAAATGGAAGGTATAATAGCCTTCCATGTATCCTGATGTTGTAGAGAATGTGGTACAGCTTGTGTACTCATAAACCCGACCTGGGCTGATGATCGGAAATTCACCTGTGGCAACAAGAGTAACA